CGGCCTCCTCAACGCTACCACTGATGCCCGGCTGAACTCTTCCCCTCAGAAACCACTGGACCTGAAGCAGCTGAAGCAGAGAGCTGCTGCCATCCCCCCCATCGTAAGTACCAGACCAAACACTCACCTCAGCTGATTCCGTTTTGCTCCAGGAAAGAGGCTCATTCCCCTCCAAGTTCTGCGTCCCATGGGGCTGAGGGCACCAAGCAAAAGTTTGCCTTGTGCACAGTTGTGCACGGGTGTCTGCCTGCCTTTGTGTGTGCCTGCCTGTTCCCGTGTGGGTGCTGGGTTTCTGATGTTTGCACAAGGATCATGTGTGAAAGAATGAGACTGGAAGTGGGCATCAGTGCTCAAGCATGGGCCCAGAGCTGTGTTTCCATGGATGGGTGATAACCCCAGGGTGTCAGGCACAGTTCTCTGTGAATGTTGTGCGAAGGGCACGGGGGAGCCAATGAGTGTAGACAGCTCCTGCCTAGCTTCTGAGAAAGTTCCCTGTAGATATTGGATTGTATCACAAGTTTCTTTTTAAGAAACCTTGTCACTGCTGCCCAGCCGCAGGCTGCCTTCGTTGGGAAAAACCCAGCCATGCACACTTTTCACAGCCTGTGCTTTCCTTTATCTCCCAATGCAAAGGGCCAGATTGCAAGTGCAGTTACACATCAGCTCCAGAGCCGCACTGCTGATGTGCTACTCTCGAATTCCACAGGGGTCACTGAAATCAGTAATTCCACATCAGCCGAGAGAGAGGTGCCATTTTGGTTGGTCCCACCAAAATCCTCTCTGTGTTCCACCCGCTTAGCTATTTAGCAGCAGCCCCCCGAGAAGGTGCATTCTCCACTCTGATCGTTGTTGCTGGGGGCTCTCACTATGAAGTGGGACGGGGAAGCCAGCCTAATTATTCTTCATCAGACTTAAGCCGGGGGAGCAGTGCTTGCAGAGTGGGAAATGGCCAAACTCATGTTGTGCTTTGGTGATCTGAAGAGGGAGTTACAAACAAAAAGCTCACATTGTCCTTTCGCGCGTCTCCACCACATGACTTGAGATCAGTGCATAGCATTGAAACCCCTTATAAGTTTCCAGGCCTGAGCTACAGATCACAATCCTTAGACCAGCCAAATCAGAGGCTCCCCAAAGCATTCCCCAAACAGGGTGACAGCCTTGCAGCCAAAGCTAAACATGCTGTTTCGCTCTCATTTGCTTCCTGTGCTAGGAAGCGCAGTAGCCTGGTTAGAAAACCCTTGGAGCATAACCTGGGGAACTGAGCTGTGTGTCTGCAGAGGTGGTGGGAGAGAAGCTCCCCAGAAAGGAGATGAGGTCTTGTGTTAGGGAGAAAACCTCATGGATGTTCACAACAGCTGCCACAATATGCCCTGCTTCTCCCATCCCATTCTCTCTGCTCCCGCTGTAGATTTCCGAGGGATTCCTAGACGGGACGTCACAGAGTGGAAGCATGAAGCCCCAGGTGCCTCACCATGCCTTGGCCCTCTACCAGCAGCAGATCACTAAAGCCCATGAATCTGCCCGAGAGGATGTGGCCCCAAGCAAGCAGCAGCAGCCAGAGCAGGAGCAGCAGCCAAGCAGTAGCCCCAGAGGACAGAGCAGGAGCCCGGTTGTTGGTGACAAGGAAGGTGAGATGCATCTGTAGGTGATCTCACAGAGCCGGGACAGCAGTTCTCTTGCAGGTGGAAGCTAGCTTAAAGGCTGATGGTGTTGCATAGCAGAATCGTGCAGACACAGGATTTAATTGGCCATGTTCATGGGGCGGTGCATCGTGCCTCTTGAACCTGCAGCAAATCCTGGAATAGTGTTCAACACTGAGGATGGGGAGGTTGCCTTGGTTGGCGTTTTGGAGAGCTGGGGTCCTGGAGCATGCCAGAGCGCTGGGCTCAGTCACTCTTTTCTACCTTGTTTGCTTTTTACAAAGAATGGGGCCTTTCTTCCATATAAAATCAATGCTAATGCTGTGACTTGCCGTCCAGGGCTTCCTCTAAAGGTTCTCCAGGCCTTTCGGCTTGGATGCTTAATGAACAATTCACAGCTTCCCACTGTGGAGCATTGGGAGGGATAGGCCCGTGGAAGGTAAGGCTTAGGGGAACTGAATGCTGTTGTATTTTTATTGGCAATTTCAAAGCTCCTTCTCATTGGAAATGTGGCCTGGCCTGTGCTCTTTAAACCCCTGCATCCTTAGGAGAGGGGTTGGGTGTAGTCGGTTTTGAGGCTGACCAGATCCTGTAGCATGATGAGTGCAGTTAGAATGGAGGCAGCTTGGCACCTTGCAGGGCAGGGTCCGTGAGTTGTGATGATACATGGTACGTTAACAGATAGACATCAGCTAACCAAACTCATGGGACAAAGCTCTCGGCCTGGCTCCAAAGCCACTGGTTTCTTGACGGGTGCCTGGGCTTGTACCTTCTTCCCCAGACCTTCCAGATCTAGAGGAAGAGACCATTGCACTCACATAAACATTTCTGTAGTGCCAAGAAGCTGCAACAGCCTGTGTATCACCAAGTGTACTGCTCGCAGCCCTGCCATGAGCGGGATACTGCAATCTCCATATCATCAAGAGTTCACAAGCATGACTCGCAGGAAATGGTTTGCCGCAGATCCTTAGAGACAGAAACCCCTTCATAGGTGATATTTTAGGTGGCAGGGAGCAGGAAGCTGTTCATTGTGGCCTGACCGTGCATGGGAAGGAGTAATACACCATTGCGCTGCGTCACTGCAGCTTTGTGCATGGTGTCACACCCATCACAACCTTAAGATTCGGCACCTTTGTCCCAAAGGCCATTGTCTCTAAGGGTATGTCTACTCTAGCCCCCTAGTTCGAACCTCATTCCATGTTAATTCAAAGTAAGGGGTTTATTTCAGAATCGCCCTTCTTTGCCGTGTAGACGCCGGCAGTTCTTCAGGGCTAGTCAATTTCCAAAATGGCGACCTACCGGGAACAGGCTAATGATATTTAAATCCCGTGCTTCATTTGCAATTTCAGTCGCCCTCATTAGCCTCCCTATTTCAAACTTGGGGGCTAGTGGAGACATACCCTAAGGTAGCAAATCTAGGCCTTGGGGATGCAAGCACCCTCTTGGCTCTGCAGCTGGACAGAGGAATTTTATTTGCAGCCATGAAATTTCTCTCTGTCAGGAGGGACAAAAAAATACACTGATTAGAAGAATTTGTTGGTATTTGCTCTCAGTTGTTTTTGAAAAGTTGGGTCACAAGAGCAGCTATGTAAGTTCAACTTTTGTCAGCCAAGGTTTCACCAAGCTGATAAGTGGTGCGTTGGCCTCTTTGTTAGAGTAGTGTTGCAGAATGAGTTACTTCCTAGAAGAGCTGATTGCTGGTGTGCTGCCAGCTGGCTTTCTTCATGGTAATAAATAACAGCACACATAGCCGGATAGACTAGCAACAGGACAATAAAGCAATCTGAATGTAAGGAATATAGCTGTTCACCTTAAAGGAACCAGATACTTCCGTAAGTCACATGATGGCTACCTGTCTCATGAAGGCTTTCCGGCTTGTCCTATCCTGCCATCTGCACTCTCACTTTCATATGCTCGTTCCCAGACTCAATTACACTCCAGTACTTCCTCCATAGTTCAAGGGATCCGGGCTATGCCTCTGCTGATGCACGTTGCAATGCAGAGCAGACACAGCTTTGTGTCGAGTCCCCTGGCTGGCCCGACTCTCATGACAGCTCCTTTTAGCATGGAACCCCAATACACTGTTCCTCTCTGGGCTCCCACTGCACTGGGATTCTTGGTTCATCGCCTCCTCAGGTTTTGCACTGTGTGATTACAGGACCCAAAAGCAGGGAAGAAAGAGGGACGGCCTGAAACGAGAGAGGCCTCCTTGTCATGTGGAAGTGTGTGGAAACCAGTGCCTGAAAAATCAGGTGCCAGAGTGACCTTTAAACTCTGTAACCTGATGGCTGCTTCATTCACATGCAGACCGGACATCTATACAGATTTATGCAGCATTGCTTTCTGCAGAGTGCCTGGCTTGGAGAACTGTGCCAGTGTTGCTGATGCCTCTCACCTAGCACTTTGAATCCTGTGAGCCTGCTGCAGAGATTAGCTTGACTAATTGCATTGTGCAATTTGTGTATCATTCCCAGTGCACAGATAGGGAGGCTTGGGCAGAGAGGTAAAAGAAGGTTGCCCAGGAACACAGGAGGAGCAGCTGGTGCCAAAGGTATCAGGTCTTGGCTTCCAGGTGCTTACTTGCCTTGCTCGCCATAAGATAAGCTCAATACCCCATGTGCCTGGGGACACAGTTTTTTGTAGCAGTCACACATCCAAGAAAGTGGGAGAACCACATGCCATTCTGACAGTAAGTGATTGGCTTAGGTCAGAACCCAGCTACCTCTGAGCTAGCTCACAGAGACATCTGAACAGAGGGGTCAAATCCTTGCCCCCTTGAAGCCAGTGAACTTTTGCCTTGGATGGTGCTAGCATTTCACCCAGGGACTCAAGCCTGGCTCTGAACTGTCGAGGAAAGGGCACCAGTAGCAGGTCTGGGAGGCAGTACAATAGCCAGTTGGTTGTGGGAAAGCAGTTGTGGCAAAGCAGTGAAAGGGGTGGGTGGAGGGGAGCATCCTGTTAAAGTGATCATGCCCCAGTAGTCCATCTGCGCCCTGAACTGCTGTGAGGAAGAGTGGGCCTCCTTAGGCCCTTGTGTTAAACTCGGGTGTATTCCTTGTACTGCTGTGAAAGAAGTGGTGTGATCCCACCTCTCCATAAGTGAAAAGTGGTCCGGGCCAGTTGCTTGCAGAGAGCTGGTCTTGCAAAAGCAGCTGTTTCTGCTCTACACAAAGCTGTGATATCTCTCCAGGCAATCAGATTGACAAGACCCTGCCTGATAAGAAAGCGTGAACTGTTGCAACTGCTCCAGAGACAGACACATTTCGCACTACCCTGGAGTCACTTCAAAGCACAGTCTTGAACATGAACATCTCATCCCAGCCAAGGCGTTGGCTGCCCCTTGCAGACCTTCGATTGGGCTGTATTTGTCTGGAGGCCTGCCAGTTGAGTATCTCCTCCCAAGGTGCTCAGACAGTGCTGCTGTGGCAGGGGGCAGGGTGATCACATGCTGTTAGAGAGATGGATCCTTTCCCTCATTGCCGAGTGGACATCATGCCTATTTTTGGCTATTGCAGGGCAGTTTCAAAGCCAGCGATGTATTTTCTATTGATTTAATCACTCGTTTCACTTGGCCTTTTGGGAGGTTGGAAGCCAAAAGCGCTAATTTGGATGATGGATGATACACACTCCAACTCCTCAGCTCTGATTTCAGGGGCTTGACAAATGGTAATGGGAACTCTTCCCAGGAGAAGTGCTATTTTATCAAAACCTGGCTGAGTTTGAAATGTGGAGTCAATAATAAACTGGCCACATTTCACAGATTTCACAGCGGCATGTGTTCAGGAACAGCTCCTGTGGGAGGAGGAACCACTTTTCCAAGATTTCCATACATCCCAGGTGCATGTGTCCTTGGCCAATAGTATCTTGGGTATCCATCGCCATTTGGCCAGGCTACAATATACAGACATCACCACTGCAATGTGGCTGCCTCTGGTGCAGAGCACAGCTGCCAGTCAGTATGCAGTGCACCACACAGCAGTTAGGACAAAGGACACTTGTGTCTCAGGACAAACGCCTTCCTCTTGGGGGAAGATGCCACAGGATGTTGGATGTTCACATGTGGAACAGGAAGGGACTTTATTTTAAAAAATGTCCCCCAAAATCCCTCATGGAGAATAGAATAGAGTGATCCAATTCAGCTGGGAGGGTGAATTGATCCATATGAAATGGGGAGTCTGGGCATTTTGATTCTAAGGTTTAGCCACTCCTTCTGGAATGTGGGGATACATCTACACTCAAGTTTAAGGTGTAAATGTAGTGCAGGTGGTTATATCTGCACTGGCTTTAATCCAGGCAGAGTGGGTCAGCAGTAGTATAGAGAGCAGCATGCTTGCAATCTGAGTGCATGCTTGGGGTCTTGTTCTGGGGCATGTAGCCCACCCTAAAGTCCAGTCCTCCATGTCTTCCCTCCTGCCATCACTGACTCATGTTAGGTCAATTAAAGCCCAAACAGGTATGCATCTCCAGAGCAATCGGTCACACTTTCCCTGGCAGTGCAGATGTTCTGTGAAAGACTCTGTGCGTGGATATGCACATGGACTTGATGCTGATAGATTCTTTCCATCACCATGTGAAGGGCCCAGAATTCTAGCCCTCAGTGCCTGAGCGCAGCAGGTGCTCATGCACCTTTTCACTAATATTATTCTGAATGGGCCCTTTGATAGCCATTCATCTCATCCCATTTATCAGCACAGCTTTAATAACAGAGTCAGAGCTGTAGAGGTCTCATGTTGCTAATGAACCATCCTTTTCCACAGCACAGTGCAGAACTTTGGCTAGATAACTGCAACTAAAAGACTTTGTAAACAAAGTGCATTTTCCCATGTTTTCACTGTGCCTCTCCTCACTTGCTAATGTGCAACATTCAGTATCCTACAAAGGTCTCCCACTCCTGCCCAAGGTTCTGCTGAACTAATAGTAAGAGATGTTGGCAAAGATATTGTTGACTAGTGCTTTGAAGTGTCATTGGTCGTGCACCCTAAGAGGACCTGATTTTCAAGAAGTACTGAGCCTCTTTGTTGTGTCTCATATGGGCACCCAAAATCACTAGAGTCTGTCTGTAAATCTTGACCCTTATTTGCCCACCTTAATTCAATTTAAAGCCCAAAGAGACCATTAGGTTATCTAGTCTGAACTATTCTTAAGGCAAGCCCATTAACTTGTGGTTGTACCAGAAGTATCTTTTTTTATAAAGATGTCTGAATTGGGTGCAAAGCCAGCCCTGATCTTCATCTGCCTTTGACTGTAACTCATAAACTACAGCTGTCCCGGGTATATGAGAATATACGGTCACTGCAAACCCTGAGAAATATTGCCTTGGCAGCTGACACCTTTATTCTGGGTTTCAAGTCTCTTCCCAGGAACTTTAATTGCTCACAGTTAGCTTCCATTCTTTAATGGTGTTTCCATATTTTATTGCAATATTGGTGATGCTACATGCCCCACCTAAGATCCAAGCTATCACTAGCACGCTGGAGATGAGGTGGATCAAGCCTCTGGACAATTTCCTAGTGCTTAGTGAAAAAATAACCATCATCTTGAGATTGAGATCCCCACCCAAGGTAGAGAGCTCTCTGCAATCTCACCTTTCTGTGCTCCTCTTTGGGGCTCTAGTCTCTGGATTTGGTAATCAGAAGGACTTTGGCCTGCTCTGGCCTGGCTCTGGCCTGGCTCTAGGCATATTAGTTGATTAAAAATGTTGTCTGTAATTTTTCTCTTGCTCACGTGGGTGTAAATCTGGAGTCACACTACTGAGGTCAGCTGGTGTGGAATCCGTGTCAGTCAGGCCCTGTTGAAGATGTCTGTAAGACCTTTCACGGTGAATGACAGACGCCCCAATGAATGAAGCAAAGTACGTAGGCACACGGACAGCTTTATGGATCCTGTTGTTTAGCCACAGATGCTTAAATTAAGCATGTGCTAAAGTGCTTTGCTGAAATGGGGCCTCAAAGTAAAATTTCCAAAAGCACCAAAGTCCCATTTTCAAAAATGACCTGGGCACTTTTCAGGCCTTTTTCATGCACACTATGGGCTTGTCAATACAGTGAGTTACTGTGCAAGCCGTCTGAGACACTTCGACCCTGGGATTTGCCATGTGGTAGGTTTTCATATGGGCTATGAAAGCCTTGGAATGCAGTGTAGTACATTTCTGCTCAGCTATGCTCTGGGGCTTTCATGGTATGGTAGCAGTGTCCACAGGATGAGTTCGTGGCAGCAAACAGGTGCACGATAGAGTCACACCCTGGATTGTCATGTGGTAAATCACCCTGCAGGCAAGCTGTAACCAAAGGAAAGGAGCCTTTTTTGTTGTTTCCCTTTGCAGATCTCTGTAAGATCTTGCTGATTTGCAATACTGTGTTTGGATGTGCAAATTCACAGGTGTGACAAGCTGTTCTGTGCTTTTTCTCCTTGCAGAAAAAACAGTGCATTTCTCATCACTCACAGAGGGACAAAAGCTAAGTGGAGAGCAGATAGCCACCTCTTGCTGGCCTTCTGTGTTGCCCTACCAAGTGTCATCTCGGGATGTGATCAAAACCTCCCCACAGACTGAGACACATGTATTTCAGTACAATCTACCAGGTGAGCACAGGCTTGGGTTCTTCTTCAGGGGAAGTCAGTTTAGTCTAGTGGCTGGGGTTGTATGGCATGAAAGGTCAAATGGTATTTGTCTCAGTCACAAGGTTACCTTGTGTAGTAAATCCACGCAGCTGTTTTCTTTCTGATTGAGAAAACTGCTGAAACTTTGCCCTTCAAAAGCTCCATGCCAGGAGCCTAGAAACTCCATCTGATTTGCCTAGCGTGGAGTAGACAATCCCATCTACAATACAGAGATGCAATGGGGTGTTGGAACTACAGAGCCCAGAATGCAATGGGAGATGCACTGGCTTAATGGCTGCAATGCCAAAAAAGCTACAGTTAGAACCAGCCGGCCTATAGAATCTCTGTATCTGGCCTCTGTTTCCATTCCCCCTTGGTATCTGCTGGTCTCTGTCTCTCCGATACAAATAACAATCCGTAATAATATTTATGTTTTGTCAATAGCTCACCCGATCCCTTTAAATTTGCATGAGAGCTCTCGGCCTGGGCTACAAAGGTTGTCCAACATCTCCAATCCTCCCCCTCTCATCTCTTCCACCAAACACCTGTCTGTTCTGGAGCGGCCCATTGGCTCTATTTCTCAGGTAAGGTGTATCTCAGTGATCTGGTACTCAGAGGTATGTGAGGAAAGAGACCTCGCTGTTTAGTAAAGACCTGGCTTAGCAGAATTTGATTTTTACTGTTTTATAATTTCAGTGGATAATATCAATATTTATTTTTAAGCATTTTTTTCACTTTTTGTCAATTTTAAATGTTCACAGTTGTAGTTAATTATGGAGGGATTAGACAACTATTTAATGACTACAGGGGTTGAGACTGAAAAAGCTAAAGCTTTATAACCATTAAAACACCAGTTGTTAACCTCTCCAGTCAAAAAATACAAAGGAAACACCCTGAAATCAACCTCTCCTAAATTCTCAAGCAGCACTTTTCTTTCTTTGCCTATTTGCAAATTGGTCTGTTAGCAATGGGAATATTTTTTTCTTCCGTTTGTGTGTGCGGTGAAATCAACGTTTATCAATAAAAATCCTTTCAAGCATTGTTGTGAGCAGCTTCCTGATAGATTCCCATTTTGATGCCCAGGTGTAGGGGTGGTGTAATAATTGAGTGAAAGTTTTTTCCCCATGATCTTCCTCTCCTTGGGGATCACCCCATTTAGGAAGTCTCTTAGCAGAGCACTACACACTTTCAGTGACCTTTTCCCCTTATATTTTAGGGGGTGCCCATTCAGCTCCACACTCCGTACAGCTCTGAGCATGCAAAAGTTCCTGTTGGCTCCATTACCATGGGCTTGCCATTGACTATGGATCCTAAGAAACTGGGTAAGCTGTTGACGCGGCACTGGTTGGTGTGGGTTCACTGCTGGCCTTTTTGTTGAATGGTCTAAGCTGTTGCTGTTGAGCTGCCGTCAGCCTGGAGCTGAACACACGTGCATGCATGTACGCACAGCGGCAGCCAACCATCTCTGTTCAGGGCAGGGCTGGTCTAGGGAGCCAAATGTCATGAAGGGAGGATACAGAGCTTTGCAAATTCACAGGGTTCATCCAGCCAGCAGGGACCATGAAATTCCTGCCTGCTGACCTATGGAAAATGGCATGGTGGTGTGCTCACATATCCTAGCACACGAGATATGCCAGCACCTTTGGCTTACTCAATGGCGATCTCAGGAGAGACTTGACTGAATCCCTTCTCTGTGGTTTCTCCTGCGCCAAGGTGGAGATGTACTGGCAAAGCAGTCACGTGGGGGAAGTATTCCTTGTCACTGCCAGTTCTGTACTGGCTTTGGGTACACGGTGTCTGGTCCAGTGTTAACAACATGACACTGCTCAGTGGCACTAATATCTACAGTTCTCATACCTGTGCTTGCTAGCTGCATGGAGAGGTTATGGTGATGCTACTCCACGTTTCCAAGGTGAGGGGGAGAGCTGCTTCCCGGGATCGTCATAGTTTGAGACCCTGCAGGTCTGATTCCTGGGACAGGGCCCACAAAGAGAGGCTGGCATTTCCAGGCATGGACTTCGAGAAGAGGTTCAATCCCAACAAGCAGGTGCTGTTGGAAAGGAAGCCTCACTGCATTGCCTCACTTACTTTACATTCTAGGAATGGGAAGATGGAACAATGTGTATCAATCAAGACTGTGATTAGATAAATGCTTGTGTTTTAAGAGCAACCACCACCAAAAGAAATTTGTAAAGCTCCTGAATACATAACCAAACTAGACTGAAAACAGATGAGTGAAGAATTCAGTGATGACCAGGAATAACGAGGTCCCAAAGTAGAGGGTGGTGTTGGCATTCATAAGGTTTGATATAGTTTGATCAATTAAGAGAAAAGTGAAATCAACCATACTCAGGTTAGCCAAGGAGGGTATGTAAGATGCAAAAGGAGAGAGCCTGCATAGCGTGAAATGAATCAATACTAGCTATGGAAGGGGATATGAATACCTGGACCATGGCTGTGTACAAGGACCACCTTCAAGGAAAGGATCAACAAGCCATACACGAACATCTAGGGCCAGGCTGCTGGGGAAAAGCCAGCACAATCTTTATGTGTGTGCAGCTGTCTTACTTAGAGAGAGATGCCATTCAAGAGGTGGAGTTATGCTGCTGTGCTTGGTCCTGGGGGATTGCACATGGGGTATTTTGTGCCATTTTGGCCCCCACCAAAAGAACAAATACAAAGGGGAACACCACCACTAAAAGGATTAACCAAGCCTAAGAAGAGAGGCAGAGGGAGCTACATTCCAACAGTCTAGGAAAATAGAAGACTCAGTCAGGGGCATGATCTCAGACTAAAAATACCTTCAAGCTAGCAGTGTGATTGAAGGAAGGAAATGTATTGACATTTGCCAAAGCTGGTAGGATAAACAATAAATGGCCTGAAGGAAGCAACAAAAATGTTCAGATTGCAGATTTGGAAACAGCAAGGGATTAAAGTCCTAAGCACTGCAGGGACTGGAGAAAGCATGTTGTAAGCCATCCGTGAGAGTGCTCTGTGGGCATGTCCTGCCTGCCCAGTGCTATACAGAGCCCATTCCCAGCTCTCCTCCTCTCAAGTGGATTCTGCCATCTGCTTGTCACTCAGTAGCGTTGTTTGGAGTGATGGGGACAGAGGGCTGGTTCAGGGCTGCTCTGAGCAAAACACAGTGAGTTTCAGGAGATAGGTTATTGCCCCTCAGCTCTTAAGAACATCGGGCTACCACAGCAGATCAGACAATTAGTCCAGTATTCTTCTTATGGCAGAAGTCAACGGCTGATGCATTCACAAAGACGGCAGCTGAGCTTTCAGTCCCAGTAGTTCCAGCTGCACGATGCTTTGCAAAGGGCAGGGAATTCCTCAGTGAGCCACTGAAGTCCTGTAGCTGAGATCTGAGTTTCCCTCTCTGAGTTTGCAAAGTTACAGCTGTTAATAGACTTAGAATTATTCACCCTATTGAAAAACCCAGCAATGGCATTAAATCCTGCCATGGTCTGTGAATTTGACTCTGGTCTGCTGTGGGGCTGGGATGCAGCACAGGGCAGGAAGAGATTTCAGGAACCCCTGCCGGGAGACCTTGAACGATGCCCTTGCGGAAGGGAGAACAGCAATATGAGTTTTCCTTTATCATCTGTAGTTGTGTGATCTGCTACTCGGAAGCAGCGGCAGCTGCAAGGAGACCTAGGGTTATTTAGGACATGTTTCTTTCAGCAACTGTGAATGTGAAACTGCGTACAATTAAAGACTGAGCACGCACGCGCACACACACACAAAGCAGAGAGCAATTCAGGACACAAGCTGTCTGGTTGTGACCAGTGCAAATGTTGTCTTGTGTGATTAATGTTTTCTAGTGCCTTTTCCTGGCATAAAGCAGGAACAGCTTTCTCCTAGAAGCCAGGCCAACCAGCCTGAAAGCCTGGTGATGCAGACATCCCAAGAGAGCACCATCCTGCGGGGTAAGCACATAGCAGGAAAGCTGCAATGATCCATGGAAACCAGGTCCCTCTTAGGGAGGCTGCTAAGGAATGCAAGGGGATCAAGCAGACCAAGCTTTTCAAAAGTGACTAGTGGTTTTGCCTGCTCTTTAGCTTCTGGTACCCAGTCTGCAACACCTTAAGAGCAGGGTGCCCTCTACATTTTTTTCCATCTACGTGCGGCGTACATTTTGTTCTGTGCATTGAGGCATATGCAGATGTGCACTACCAATAGAAGTACATGCTGCCCACTGTGAGTGCTCTGTTAATCAGTTGCGTGGTACCTGAATCCCCCCTGGTGGCCGCCCAAGCATTCGGCTTACAGGGAACACTTCTTAAGTGTGTCTGATTTTCAGAGGACAGATGAACAAGTCTTCAAAATGCCTGAGGCTGGACACCTGAAGTCACTGGCCCCTTTTAAAGATATGAGCCCAGACTTCTATCCAGCTTTGGACGGAATGGGTGGGAAGATATTTCCTCCTTGGCTTTGAAGGGCAGTTTGCTAATCAAGGAAGTAAAGCAGCTGCTAGCAAAGCAGCACCGATTACATTCTGAACCTAGCTCTCTAGATTCACAAATGCATGCTAGGGACAGACCCAGAGAATGTTTCATTTTTAAATTCTTTCTGCAGTGCAAAAAACAAACAAGCAAACAAAAAAGCACAGAACTCTCTGTTTTAAGTGTATGTACTTGTCTCTCATAAACACCCAATGAGTTCAACCAGATTCAGGAAATTCAGTGGGTTGGTTCAGGACTGAAGCAGATAAAATAGGAACCAACTAAAGGCAACTCCCAAGTTATGTCTCTTTAGAGGTTTGGTCCATTTGAGGGGCTTGTGACTGTTCTCGCATGTCTCTGCCTTGGTGTTTGGAGCTGGGGAGGAGAAATTCAGACTCACACCAAGCTGGGCAGAGCCAGAAACCACCAGGGAGCCTTTCTCAAGCACAGTGAATTAGCACTCAAACCTTCTGGGTTCCCCTCTCCTTTTTCTAACCCCAGTTTTCATGGGATGATTGGGCCCGATCCTGAATTCAGTGGGGTGCAGTGATTCTTAAGGTCCAGGCTGCTGGAAGTGTACCTCCAATAAAACGTATCGGCCTGCATCAAGATGTGTTAGCTGTTCTAATCCCCAACACCAGGGATTGCTCAGGGAAATGCAGCTGGGGCTGCAGTACGTGGCCTGGGCCCCTGCATGAAGCTATTGTGCTGAAGGCTCTAGGGCTGCGTGGTCAATACCAGCTGGGATTTTGTTCCACTCCGCAGCCTTTCAGGTGAGCCGTACCCTCTCAGCAACCTTACTCTGCTTGCTCTATTGTGACTTGCAGGGACATCGTTGGGCTCAACCCCAGGAGGTAGCATCAGCAAGGGACTCCTCAGCACTAGGCCTCCGTTGGACTCGCCCATCACATATCGCGGATCCATCACGCACGTAGGTTCCTTCTCTTGACAGGTGGGGGGCATTTAAGGTGAAGTTTGTAAGGTGTGCAGGGAAGGAATGGCTGCTGTCAGAGCAGACCGTCGCCTGGTGTGCATAGACATGATTGCAATGTGTTCTGATTTGGGATGGACTCAGCCTTTAGGCAAGACCCATCAGGAGGAATTTCAGAGGCCTAAGCAAAGAAGGTGGAAATGAATTGCCCTGGGGCAGACCCAGTGAGTATCTTCCCTCCTCTGCAGAGCTGAATTCAGATCCAGCTGGGGCAAGAAGGGAGAGTCAGAGTGAGTTTGTGCCTCCATCACCACCCACTCCAATTGTTTCCCAATCTGCACAGATTGGCCAGCAAGCCAGGGAAGGGGGAAGTCTTCAGGGAGGAAGGGAAGCAGGTTTGGACTAAGGAGGCGGATTATTCTGAAGATCAGTTTCGTTCCATGAGTGATGACTGCTGAAAACAAAAGTAAACAGATATCACTGGTGGTGAAAGGGCCTGTCGGTGTCCAGAGTCTTAGGCAGGGGAAGGTTTTGCCTTCCTAAACCTCCAGCCTGGCCCTGCCCACACTTCACCTCCAGTGTTCCCACTGTTCCAGGGTTGAGGATGCAGGAGCCATGTGGCCTCCTGCCTCCCTGCTGATCCCGGGGCCAGGGAAGCTTGAGCCAGCTCAGGTCCTGGCCATCTCTCTTCTTGCTGCTCCTGAGGGCGGGAGGAAGGGGTTTGGAGCCAAGTGGCCTCTTTCCTCTCTGCTGCTCCAGGGATGCTGGGGTGAATGTGCTCTTCCCCTCCCCATGGCTGGGCAGTGCATGCACACTCGCACACTGCTCTTCCTCCCAGTAGTGGGGATGGAACCTTTGCGGAGGTGGCAGGGCTGTAGGTGGGGTTAGGGGCCTTCCTCCCCTAGCCCTGGCTTCACCGACTACCCATGACAGCGCCATTGCATTAGAAACTCCTTTCACATGTGGTGGTAGTTCTTGTGAACCTAAGCAAGGGGCGGAGGTGAGATGGGGGTTAATCTTGCTGATACACTGTGCAGCAGGCAAAGGAGATGGAAGAGAACAGTAGGATAGTGGGCAAACTGGAGAAGGAGAGACCAAGACAGCTAAAGGCAATGGGATGCCAATGGGGTAATGAAGCTGAGGGATTGGTGCAGTAAGTCTCCTTCCATGGCTGCAGAAGTATGTTCACCAGGCCCTGCCCAAAGGGCTGTCCTGAACCCAGTACAAAGGCACTCTTCCTTTAATCTCTCATTCATCTTTAGAAGAGCAGCTGCCAAAGTAGGGGATAATTCTGCCATGTGAGCTATTGCTCAGCACTGAGTTCCCTTGGGGAGTTTTCCCTGGCCATTATTCAGCTCTTTAAAGCTGCTAATAAGCACAGAAGGTTTTTTCCTGTTGTCTGGTGGCAAATACCCTTTCCTGGAAAGGATGTAGGGGTGGGAGGAAAAACAATGGCTAGTTATTGGACACTGTTTCAGAGCCAGCAAATTAATTGACATAGAATTCCTGTATTCTTCATATAAACTAAAGAGCAGTGGTAAGTAAGGCTGCCTCTTTGGTTTGGTTGAATGGTAAAGTAACTCTCAGAGCAGCTTTAATATGCTAAGCTGTTTTGCAGCATGTCTGGCAGCTGTACCGTGGAGGCCAAAGGGCTTTGATATCTCTGAGCAGTGCCCGTGATGCCCCACGTCACAGCATCCTGCTTATTCTCCTGACGGGAGGGCAATGCTCCTGATTCCTGGGGCAGCTCCCAGCGCTGCGGCTTCTACTTGATCTCAGATTACTCCTCCGGTTCCCAGAAGACAGATATCGAATTGGGCGCGCTCTGCTCCCAAGCTGTCTGTCATCGCTCGCTTTCAAATCCCCTGCAAACACGTCCGCTGCAGGAAGGAAACTTACCTGGCAGTGGGAAGCTGGCACTGAGCTTTTCTGTGAGCCTGGATCAGAGCAGACAATCAGGGCATTGAAATCTGTACAGTGACACGTACTATCCACGCTCTGCAGCAAGCAGTTTCGTAGCTGCTGGTCTGACCAAGCTGTCTGTCATCGCTCGCTTTCAAATCCCCTGCAAACACGTCCGCTGCAGGAAGGAAACTTACCTGGCAGTGGGAAGCTGGCACTGAGCTTTTCTGTGAGCCTGGATCAGAGCAGACAATCAGGGCATTGAAATCTGTACAGTGACACGTACTATCCACGCTCTGCAGCAAGCAGTTTCGTAGCTGCTGGTCTGACTGCTTAAAAAGAAGCAAAGACTCATTGTACAAAGGGGTGGGAATGAGACATGTTGTCCTGACTTCTCAGAGCGACCCACAAGCAGCATGATTTTGGAGCACCGAGGTTAGAATCAGGTTCCTTATTCCCCCCCTTCCAGTCATACAGACATCTCATAGCATTCAAAGTGGCCTGTTCATCTGACGTGACTCGCATTGTCTGGATTATAGCTTTGAACAGCAGAATGCAAGTCCATTCTGGTACCTCACCCCACTGCTTGGATTGGTAGGCTGCCAGGACACATGTGGTGAGGGATTGTTACCCTGCTAATTCCATCCTGTATGCTCCAGAAAAGAGCAGCCACTAGGATGGCGCCCTGGTAAATCGGAAAAGAGGCCAGTGTGTAAACAGAACTTGTCCACACATACACGTTTTATAGAGAAAGCAATACACCCCTAGTGCAGACTCAGCTGTGCCTGCCTAAAGGAACTACTCCCATAGGGGCATGGGAATAAGTTGTACCAGTGTAGGCACTTTTATACTGCACCCCAGTAAATCATTCACAAGCTCCCTGGCAGGCTGAAATTTGTTCCAATGAAACATTCATCAAATGAGTCCAAGTAACTAAATGAGGCCAAAATCTAAATCTGTTGACAGATAATTTCCAGACAGAAAAAAGGGATAAATTCTCTGCAGCTAGATTCCTGGCTCTGGCAGTGGCAGCACTCCTATAAAGCAAATTTTCCCAGTGCAAGGTCTGGGTGCCTCAGCCCTTAAGTAGGACTTGAAGGTCACTGGTATCAGCTCTCTGCCCTGGGGTGAATTTCACTTACAGTTAGAGGAACACCTGCAAGGTTCTTCTCAGTTTTCCTCGTCTGCATTACACCCTTACAGCTGTTTTGATTGTTTCTTGCATCTCGCTCCAGCTTGCATCATGAAACTAGGCTGGTCAGTTTCCCTCTTGCACATGCTCTTGTGAGCAGCTTGCAAACTCACAGCAACCTTGACTGATGGAAGGCTTGGCAGCAGAATATTCAAGGCTTCTTTCAGGATTTGGACTCCTGCTTTTCATTATTTCTGCTGGGAATTGGGTGTCCAAATGCCTTTTCAGATCTCACACCTAGCCTGTTTGCATGGATATTTGGAAGAGAGTGATGGAGAAGCAGGAGTTGCATAAACAGCTGGTCCCCTCCCTTTATTTAAAAGCAAAGCTGTGGGCCCGACTCTCCTCTCTACTCTGCCAGTAACCCCACTCGAGTCTGTAGCATTAGACTGACATGAAGCTGGTATGACGGAATGATGAATGGTCCTGTATTTTGGGCCCAAACTGCTTGGTTGCCTGCCCTTTTGAAGGTCGATATTTCTGTGATCACTTGTGCCCTATGGTATTAATCTGAGAAAATAGTTTGCAGTGATAGTAGTCCCATGGGAAAGGAAAATGCTTAAATCGTGTTGGCCATGACTAAGACAGCCCCAGGGAAGGCAGAGTTGTAATAGTGCCTGTCCCTTCAATCCAGCGGGATGAAAAGAAACCAGATAGTTTCCTTTGAAAAGCACAGAGTGGCCGGAGCAAGCAACATGGGCTGGTGTTTTCATTCCTACTTTGCCCAGTGGTAAAAGACCCTGCACTGCTCTGTAATTGGATCTAATGAAAGGCAGACTCACTCCGTCTCTTTCGAGCCTTTGAATGCAATGCCTGTCATCTCCGCATTGTACTCGCCCCTGTCTCTTCCCAGCAACCTTACCCACATCACGTACCTTTTACCACTCCTCATGATTGTCCTCATCAATAATTAAGCTGCACATTTCTTGCTATTGGCCCTGACAGGAAGCAGAGTTCAGCTGTGCTCTCTCTCCTCTGCTCCACCTCCCTTCTGGAACAGAGCATTCCTGTGTGTGAGAGAGCTTTCTCACTTAATTGCTTGTGACACTGTTAAATATGGATCTTGGTGGCTTTCCAAGGGCACCCCAGCTGAAGTGCTGTACAAAGGAACCATTACCAGAATAATTGGAGAAGACAACCCCAGCAGAGTGGAGAAGGTGAGAGAGGATACCTTACCCAAAGGACATGTCATCTATGAAGGAAAGAAGGGCCATGTGCTCTCCTATGATGGTAAGCTGGAATCCTCTCTATTTTGGGGGGCAGGAGGGCATCCGGTTCATGCTTCTAATGTTTAGGAGCTAAAAACTGTTTGAGAAAACCTCACGCAGCGTATCTTGCCAGTATCCCCTTTTTATTTCCAGAGTAATTTCCCCCCTATTGCTGATCTTTGTGGTCTTGTCCGAGGGCCAGGTTTTCCTCTTTGATGCACACAGCAGTTGTGGGCTTTTGTGTGCTGCTAGAAGAGCTGCTGGTGTGAGCATGAGAGCCATATGCACATGTAGGCTGTAAGCGCTCCAGGGAAGGAAGCATCTTTTCTGAAGTGCAAGTGTGGACAATGCACAGTGGGGCTCTCGGTTGGGACCCCTGGAGAGATTGCTGGGCATCAGCGAACACGCTGATGGGATTGCAGTTGGCTGCAGGAATTCTCTCTCTTTGTGCAGAAGGGATCTTCTCTCCTGGTTTCCACTGGATCAGATGAAACCACATTGTGGGTCATTTCATTCCCTTGACCTGTGCACGCTGGTATCAGGACAGGGGGCAGTGTGCCCAGCAGTGGGTATGAAGCTTCTCCTTTGGAGGAGGCTCTACAGGTGTCAGTCTCTAGGGCTATGCCCACGGGAAGCCATGATACCTCTAAAGGCTCTGGCTAAGAGCTGATGGGCACATACTGGGCCCTCTGTCCTGAGATGAACATTCCTTTGGATGTGGAAAGCAGTAAGTAGGGCCCGTCCTGGACAAGGGGGCAGTGCTGAAAGCCCCGTGGCCCAACGTTTGCAGCATCCCAGCACCTCATCAGGGCGCTGTGCCTCACGCTGAGCTGGTGTTGCCATGGGAACATGCAGCAGCAGGGCCATACAGTGTTGCCAGTTCTGAAGTACATGGGGACTCTGGTTGCCCTTCCAGCTGGACTTGCTGGTGTCAGGGAGAGTCAGGGCCTCTCCAGGGAACTTGGGGCCTGTGGCAAAGCCCATCACACCCTTGGCTCCACTTGTCGAGGAGAGAAGGCTTTAAAGTGTTTGCCAAGCAGCTGGAGTCGGAGGACAGGGGCATCTCTTGTCATGTCCTATCTCGGCCTTCAAATCTTGCTGGCCTCCCTGGGAACAGGATGGCTTTGACCTCTGGAGTCCTACCTAGTGGTTAGAGCACAGTGCTGGGAGTCAGGACTCTGTTCCATCCTCTGACACTGATCTGGCAGGGCATTTCAGGTAACACACAGGGCAGGGGAGAGCAGGTGTGAGGAGCCTCTGGCTCCGCCCCAGTGCAGGAGCCATGGGTCTGGTGGCTACGCTGCAAGGAAACCCGCATGTGAGCCTCACACAGTGCATAAGAAGTCATGTGTCTCCTTGTAAGCCTACAGAAACCATGCTGCTAATGACAGAATCACTGGGATGAATCAGCGTGTTTTGTGAGACCTATACAAATATAACGTGGATGTGAATTAGGACTCTGTGCACAATGTAACTTGGGATAGCATGAGATGAACTTCCCCTCCCCCCAGCATGGCCGTCTCACCTCCCCCCCCCACACACACATACTTTCCATCCCTCTATGTGGCCATCTTGTTTCCTATCCCCCGTTGTTTCCTTTGACTTCCCTGAAGTGCTCCATCCCTTGGACCATGGCATTCTGCATATCATAGAAGCCCACAGGTACCTGCACCAGAGACAATTTCAGTGTGCTAGTTCCTTGGGTGGCCTCCTCCTTGTTGTTAAACCCTGCCCCCACCTGCGGTCTGCCAGAGACTTGGCTCATAATAGGCTGCTGACTCGGAGGGGCCCACTTGTGTAGAACTGAGGAAGTGTTGATGCTCTTGGGGCCTGCAAAGAGGTGGTGATTCCTGGCCATTACACTCGTTTGCCCTAGAGGGCATGCCAGTGGAAGGGAAGCCCAGTCCCTCTTGGAGCATGGAGGACACGGACACAGTGTTGCATCTCAGTGGAGTCTCCAAGCTCTGTTCTCTTCTCCAGCTTGCTAGTTTTGCTGCCAATATGCCCATTGTGTTACCAGGACACTGCTGAGAGTGCACTGCTCCAGCAGTTCGGTTTGATACCGTGTAGCAGAACTTACTTTGCTCTCCATTGACTGACTTTTCTCCTGCCACTTAAAAGTGTCTCCACTTTTCCCTAACCTGTTCCCAGCACTACTGTGACCCCAAGCATGGGAGATTTGCTTCTGAGAAGTGAAACTGTCGGTAAACTACAGCAGGGCAGCTCCTAAGCTGTCATCAGTTCCTGGCTGAGATGAATGCATGAATACAGCCAACCGCGTGAATGGCGGGAAGTCCAGCCACTTGTTCCACTAATCTCCATGGTGTTACAATAACACAGACAGGGAACTCTTCCCCTCTCTTAAAATATAGGATTGGCTTGATGGTGTTAAGAAAAACACCATTTCCAACATGCATTCCTGTGACAGGCTATAACAACCTCACACCGATGATGCAAGGGTTAAAGAGCTGTTCTGGGCTCAGAGCATGCTCCCTGTGCCAGGAATCCAGCTCAGTCTGGGATTGCAGCCAGCCCTGGAGTCCAGTCTCCTAGCGGCAACACAGGAAGCCAATCAACTGCAGGAACCAAAGGGAATGACTTGCTGTTGCTGGCCAGGGAACTGCCAGAGCAGAGGGACCCCATGTCCAGCACCAGGGACAACGCTGGAGGGACTGGGATGATAGCAAGCAGTGACCCAGGGAACACACTTGGGATATTGGCACCCGGACTTTTGTCTGGGCCCTGTTATGATGGGCACTGGGTCAGAACCCAGTCCACTAGGGTGGCTCCGGGTTCCCCTTCCCTCTTCATGCTTTCCACTAAATGACACTGCCTCAATACTGCTGCTAGGCAAAGTACAGCCTGCCCCTGGCCTGTAGCCACTAGGCAACATTGCCTTTGCACTCTTGCCAACAGGCATTCCACACTGGAGTATCGCTGTTAGGTGATACTGCCAGCCCATGGCACCCAGCCACCCCCAAAACCACTACACAGGTTCCAGCACTTCCTTGCTGAGTGCAGATCTGTGTGTTATAGTATCAGCACTCAGTAATCAGCTGTTACTTCCTTCCCAAGCCCGCTTCTCAGGTGGCAGGGTGGCCCTAAAAGTCAGCCTGCCGTTTCCTCAGAAGCTCAAGTTGCTTCCATAAGAGAGAAGCAGATGTGAAGCTTACCAGTGACCCCTCCATACACCCCTTCCATTGCACACTGCTCTTCCTCCAGCTTTGGGGGTTGGACTGGTGTAGCCAAACACTGATCCCATTGAGTCTGAAAGCACAGGATGCTGCTTTCCAGAGACCCCCCCCCTTGGGCCAGGGGCTTGGTAACCCAGCCAGTAGTGAAGCAGGGGCCTTTGGTGCCTGGCCAGAACACGCATGGTGAGCACAACTGACTGACGGATGCCTCACTTCTGCTCTGAATGTGAGGCAGAGATGACTAAGGACGAGATCCTAATCTCAAATGCACCCACCTGCCTCATTCGTCTCTCAGATCTGCTCTTCGTCTGCTGTGTCACATCCCCACAGCTCACATCTCTTTCTAGAGAACAGAAGCCTCCAGGAGTAGTCCGTTGCTGCTGCGGCCTTGCTGACCACAAAACAAAGCCAAAAGGTGGGAGTGGCGCTTTGGCTGCTAGTGGGAAGACCCAGTGTGGAGCACTGACCATGCTGCTGGGCTGAGGAAGGAGCCACTGGAGAGAATGTGCCTTAGCTTGGCTCTTTCTCCACCACTCATCACCACCATGTGCGCCGCTTTCCCTCCTTCCTGACCCAGCTCTTGGTCCTTGATGTGGTCTCCTGGAGGCACTTGTAGGGCAGAATAGGAGGTTGTTGGTAGGGGCGTGCCTGTGAGTGGGTCTTACTTTCTCTGTGTTAGAAGCAGAAGCATAAGGGTAGAATATGAAAAGACAAGCTCCAAGCCTGGCCCACGAGCTGTTGCTCATTTCTGTTCCAGAACCAATTGTCCGGCTTCCTGCTAGGCATGTGGTGTGTGTGCCAGTGTGTGCACTGACAGAGCACAGCTCTCTACTCACAGCTCTCTGAAGGAGAAGAGCACATGCCCAGGATGGGCCAGATGGGGGTCAGCACCCCTCCCCGCCAGGTCCAGCTTTTCCACCAGAATCGACACTCAGCAGTTCTTTTATGCTGATAGTCAGATGTCCAGGCACTTGGCACACAACTTCTGTAGATCAGAGTGCACACACAGCCTGCACTGCTGGTGTTTAATCACTGTGCCTCCCAGAGCTCCCTTGGCTTCACAGCTAATAGTTGGACTGTTGCACAGTAGTCACGAACCCCCACGCCAGCAGCAAAACGGTTAAAACCCTACCATTACTGACAGCTCATGAATTTAAGCTTGGAGCCACCTCAGTGGACTCATTCTTGTACTGCATTGACCTCCCGGTGCTGAGCATGAAAAGGATTTTATGCAGTGCCCAGTGGGCACTGCATGCATAGTAAATCTCCAGTCCTCTCCTTTCACTGCTTAACTTTGCCCCAGCTGGGCTCTCTGTAGCCTCAGGGAGAGCTGGCCGAATCACTGCCAGAAAACCAGGCTGGAAATATTTCTAAGCTGTCTTTGCAAGGAGAACTGGAGCTCTTTAGCCAGCACTTAGCATCAAATAGCTGGTCTTAAAAATCATGCTGCAGTGCGGAGAAAAGCGAGAGCTCCTCTCCAGTGCCAAATTCTGGTTTCATCATTGCATTAGCTGCCTGAGCTGTTAATCAGACCCAAGGGGATTACAAAATGGAGAGACTGAACTGTAAATGAAAGCTATGAACCAAATTCCATCTGGCTCATGTGACACATGCGCCTCTCCCACTAAGCCCCCAGGCTGCTGTGCATGGACTTCATGTGATACTACACATCTAATGAAGATAGTGACGTCTACTTCTCATAACATCCATACAAACATCTAACCCATAGTGGCAGCACTTTCCTAGTGGCTGTGGCCCTGAACTTGGGTTCATGAGGCCAGACTTGCTGTATGACCTTGAGCAAGTCACAGACTGTCTGTGCCTCAGTTTCTCTCTCCCCCATCATTCATGTATCTCGTCTGTGTGGATTGACAGTGATTCAGGACAAGGACTCTCCCATGCTCTGAGGGTGAGGCCTTGATTTCAGATGAAGCCTTCTTGGCATCACGGTAATACAAACAATATAGGGGGGAGGGAGGTTAGCATCATTCTCTCAGGGCAGCAGAGGCAACTGATTCACCCAAGGCCGGAGGGAAAGTGAGAACTGAAATGAACTTTTGGGAGTTATCACTGTTTCAAGCCTGTGCTCAGACCTGAACATGTCCCTTAGCAGACAGTTCTGCACTGACAAGAATCGGGCTCTATAACCCAATGGGTCTTGCCCAGTTCAGATTTCTGTGATTATGCATGAAAATCTATTTCATATGGGAAGAGGAGAGAGCATATGAGGCTTCATTTAATTCACTTTCATACTGTCTCCACCAGCCTCTTTCTACATCTGATTTTTAGGCCACCTCTCCCTGTACATACGAATAGCTCAGTAACTCTTATAAAATAGGAGCAGCCCTAGCGACCTTGGATTTGTGTGTATGGTTGATTTTCCTCTCCTCTTTGGACCTGTAATACAAGATGATTTGATCCATAATATCCTGTTTCCTTGCCCCAGACCATCCTGGGACAGTGTTTGAAATGCAGTGGCAAATGTGTTAAAATTAAATTAAATTGTTTAGTGATTATGAGTTTTGGCAGGCAGGCAGAAAAATGGCAAGTTCTGTAGTGCTGTGAGGGTACTTAGAAATAAAAGGACTCTGATGAGACAAAATCCTATAGCATATGCAAGCTGAATTGTGCTAGATTAGTTATTCTCATTCTACATGTGATTGCTAATGGCTTCTGCAAGCAAGGGACATGTTTTCTGAGCAATTTTCTTTCTTGTTAATCTATTTCCTGCCTCCCTCCCACATGCAAGTTCTGTAGTGCTGTGAGGGTACTTAGAAATAAAAGGACTCTGATGAGACAAAATCCTATAGCATATGCAAGCTGAATTGTGCTAGATTAGTTATTCTCATTCTACATGTGATTGCTAATGGCTTCTGCAAGCAAGGGACATGTTTTCTGAGCAATTTTCTTTCTTGTTAATCTATTTCCTGCCTCCCTCCCACATGAAACATCCTTTTTGCAGAAGAGCTCTTTGGAACAGATGTTACTTGATAACAGGATACAGCAACATTACCCCCTTCGTGTGTCTCAAGATGCCTGGCTGTTTTCTAAACATCAGCCGCTGATTTTTCATGTCAAATGAGTCTGAAGCCAAGAGGGGAGACCAAG